CTTCCCAATATGCGTTTTTGCAATTTACATATATGCAAAAACGCATAAAAACGCATATTGTAACGACTTCGGTGTGTCTGTCTGTGTATTCGTGCGTCTGTCTGGGTATTTCAACTGAGCAAGCTCTAGCACCAAAATTTTGCCATTAGGTTTCCCCGCCAGTTGCCACTTCCAGGATCTGGTAACAACTCTCAAGCACGTCCAGGTCCTGCGTACGGAAAGTTTTGTCGGAAAATCACTAAATCGGGAAGCAGGAAAACTAGAAAGCTGAAATTTCGTAGTTATGTTCCCCGTCGATATAGAACGCAAAGATTTCAAATTTTGCCCCCAGGTATGAGTGGTTTTCACGTACGGCTTCGTGAAAGCTCCTGGCGGGAAAACGACTGACTTGGAAACCAGGAAGACTCACAGACTGGAGTTTTAAGGAAATGTTCCCTGACCAAGTACCTTTTAGTTGCACAATCGAGTTCCTAAACTTCGAAGATCGGTATGCCGTAAATTCTAGCTACTGTGACTCCAAGCGACATTACAACAGCACGAAACATTGCAAAAACGCATGATAGCAAGAGCCCGTCCGTGTGTGTCGCCAATGATTTCAGTAAGAAAAAAAAAACACAAAAGTTTCCAAGTATGAAATATTTCTAACTCGTACAAAAACTAGACCCTATTGAACTGGTTCCCCCATCAGCGTCACTGCGAGAATGAACTGAAAGTTTTCCAGGGTCATTTCCTCAAGCTTTTTTTCCAGCCAATGCTGCATTGCCTAATAACCAGCCTTTTAGCGATCTTTATGCTTTTTCCATCTTCTGAAGAGATTACTGGATCAATGGTCTCAAGATAAAGCACCTTACCAGGGCATTACTCATCTGCAAAATTCAACAAGGCATGTTGGGTGCCACTATTTTGTTCCCAAACATAACACCCTCCCAAATTATGATAAATGTAATTTACCAACTGGAAGATGTTTTTCTCTCATGTTAAACAAGCGAAGCTAGGCTTTTTGATATAACTGTTTATATGTGAAAAAGTACATATCACCTAGTACTTAAGGTCGCATGTGCTGTCTGATGGTTTTTATGCGTCACAAAATTCATCCGTTCATTTGGATTAGTGATGGAGGTCCGTCGTTAATAAAAAAAGGAAAGGACACACTGATTGCCACCACAACAGCAACCGCTGCCCAGTTCTAAACTACCTCAACCAAAGTCCGCAAGTGGCACTTATTTAACTTCCATGGATATTTTGAAAATCCGTATGGGCCGGTGTGTAGTCCTGGCGAATCACGTTCACGCTTAGGCGTTTTCCGATTCATATCATCCCAAATGTTTCTTGAACGACACATTGAAAAAGCTTAGTTTTATCGTACTTTTTCGAAATTAGTAGCTTACATAAAATTCCGTTGACGTCTTGCAGTTTTGAAAATAGTGTATCATCTTTAAACCATTAAGACTGCGTTCTAAATCCTCTAGGCCGTGGAATTTTTGTGGTAAAATGATGTACATATTTATATTTTCATTGCCTTCATATGGCATCGCCAGCACTCGCACCTCATCATTCTCGAAAAGTGGGAAATAGCCAAATGTTGCCATCGTTGGTGTCTGCAATTTTTCACTACATTAGTGCGCAAAACCGTAAAAGCGGCAAGATTCTCAGCTTGCTTACGCCATACAGGATGTCGCTTCCCATAGAAAGAAAGTAAAATTCGATGAGCGGGGTCACTGCTTGCCCTGCTGGCAATCGGTAGACGCCACATGTAGCTGTATGTGCATTCCGAGTTAATATCAGTGAGCATTCCAATTCTTTGAAAAGCACTCCCAAACATCAGGCAGAAGAAAGCAGTTGCTTCTCATTATATATACAGATTTGCGTTACTTTGATCAGTCGGTACCGAGAAGCATAAAAGCTTCTGGGTATTGTCCAGTCTTTGTCGAATTTTTTCTTCCATGCACCTTTGAAATACGCTGCATTGAGCAACATCAATTTTGAGTTGGCTGAAATCTCGCTTGCTTCGATAACTGAGGTGATCATTTCATGGGTCACCTGGCTCACCCAATGCTTTGCTTCCTAAAACAGTGCTATAGCTTCATTTACAATAGATTATTTGGAAAGTCACAGTGGCAGATTACCAGTTTCTGATGTTTTTAAAGCTGCGTTCAAGTTTTTTCCGGTGAACCAAGAAAATTCATTAGTGTGGATGTGTGAAGCAAATTTTCAACAACTTTTAAATTGCGCATTAAAGATAATTCACAGTTTTTAGTTTGTGGTTAACAATTAGCCAAAATCTTAAAATAACCCAGGCTGGAACGCACCAGGCGAGCCGGTGCGATCATGTGTTTTTGCACCAAACTTTGAAGTACCGTCTCTCATAGAGGGGGAATAGGGAAAGAAGAAGGGGGTTCTACATTACGCCACCATTCAGCTGAGTATGGGGTTTGATCAGCGAGTCGACGAATTAATGGCCCATCACTACCCTGCATGTTGACCGGTACAACCTCAACTTCCTAGCTTTCGCAGGTTTGGACGTGACATCAACTTTAGTGGCACCAGTTCAAAAGGAGCTGCTTAGTTTAGTTTATCATCACTGGAACAACAAACAAATTCCTCAACTCTTTTCACAGAATGAAGGAAGGCTAACTGGATTTGACTTCTGCAACTTCATAAATCTATGAAGTTATTGCTGTGAAGAGAAACACTGCCTTTTTTCTACTCCTCTGCCCCTCCCCTCACCTCTTCTTCCTCCACTTCCTCTCTCCCTAGTAATCAGATGTAAAACTCCCTCCTTACTGACTGCATCTAAGAGGCGGCAGCGCTCGGGAACTAGTACAGTTACCGTTTGCAACTACCCACTAGCAAGGCTGTGGATGGTTCCCTAATTCGAGAGCTGCTTACAAACAAGCTGATAGTGAATATGTTTTCTTGGCATATGCCAATATCAATTTACTATATAAACGAACGAATGAGTCGAAGGATTAGTTAACCCATTGGCAAAACCGAACCCTCTACAAACAGCATAGTGCGCTTGTACCTTACTGCGTCATTTCTTCCAACTCTCAAGAATTATCTTGGCGATAAAACTGCTAATGCAAGCTTCACAAGCAAGTGCTGAATACCTGAGCGATAACATCGGGATTTGCTCGAAAGTCAACAAGTTTCATTTGTCCGGTATAGTACTTCTCTAAAGCCGTAACAAATGCACTTTTTAATCTCAGTCCTTGCTGTATATAAAGACGGTTGGCCTTCTCCAGCACACAGCTTCGAGTCTTGTTCTTTGCGATTTTATCAGTAAGGTCGTGCACATATTGCTCGAAATCCTCCGGCGTTTGACCTGAAAGTAAATGCTTCTTTAAAAACGATGTTTTGTTTATGGTATTCGCAGTATAAAATCCTATTCTGAATTCTTCGAACTGTTGTTAGAAATTCTCCTTCGTAGAAAATGAGCCTGAGATGAAGATTTTTTATTCAGGTTCTCACTAAGTAAAATCCCGAGCATGTTAGGAAAATTGCCGTTGAAAATATCTATTTCATGAAAAAAGCGCATCTCATTTGCTTTGCATTGCTCAGTCGAACAAAACCAAGAAATTACACTGTAGCATAAAATTGGCCCGAATTTAGGTACAAAACCAGCAATCAGAGTCCCACGCACTTATGTCCACAAAGGTTTTTTTGCTATAAAAAGTTTTTTTTTGTATGAATACATATAAAATAAATAGCAGGTCGCATCAGCGCCAACCTGAGTGCACATGCTAAACAGCAAAGCGACAAGATTTGGACAAAAACGCATGATCGCACCGGAAAGCTTGCTGTTTTCAGAGCTTTTATGGTAATGTTATCTGCGCAGTGTCGAATCACACCAAACTTTCTAGTCTAATAGTTTTAGCAGACGGAGCTGGCGCTTTGTCGATATTTATTCTGTTGCATTGCTATTGTCGATACTAATCTTTTTCCTACTTTTAATACTATTCTTCTTTTCTGCTAAATTATGTTATGTGTGTTGCCATTCGCCTTATTTTGATTTTTCGCTTCAGCCAAACCAATAATTTATCATATACGTTTCTGTTTCATTCGTTATTCTCCCCAAAATACTTCATAACAAGTTTTTTGAATAAGATTTACAATTTGCCCTTTATTCAGCAAACAACTGAACAATAAACACTGGAAAGGCCGACTTAGTTGACCAATGTACAGCGTTTACTGACAAACAAATAATGATGCTTCGTCTCTTGGCCGTAAACACAGACAGCGCAGTAAGTTTGGGTAGAATTTAAAAACGTTTCAGCCTAGTTGGTCATCCGTTACTACTAAAACTACTCATGCAGATGATTTTCCGCAACGCATTTTGGGCATAAATTTTAAAGTCGAAAAAAATTTTTGCTTTTCAAAATGCCACCTTTGGCAAAAACATTGGTCATCTCCAGCTTGGTGAAACCATCTGCACCAGCATAGATCATCGCAAATGCTTCTGCAGTTGAAAACGGAGACACCACCACCGATCCGTTTGGCTGTCCAAAGTGCAGCAAATTAAGCGCATAATCTGCATGTGCCTCTTGCAGCCCGCTGAAAACGCGACGGTTTTTTTTTGCCTGTCTGCGCATTTGCTTTATACATCTCAAAATGACCAAAAATGCTTAAAATAATTTTTGTTTGAGCCAACTTTTGCCTAACTTTGTTAAAGAATAAACGCCTGCAAATTTATTTCTACTTCTGCGTTAAAGTCATTAAATTTTATATAAAAGTACACAGACAAGGTTGGTAACTGCGGCAAAAGATTAGCTTAAGTGTATTTAATGTTAGCGGATGAGCGATGCACAAAATTAGGGACTTGAGAAAATGCCAGTTACATCAGGCACCACTAGAGGAGTCGCGGTGATGAAACGACAGGTGATCAATGGAATAAAATTAAATTGTGATGATATCCTTGCTGGCGTGGTAAAGGAAGAGAGTGCGTAGCTTGTACTGCCTTGAATAAAGTATATGAGGCAGAAGATGCCCAAAAGTGTGCAATAGTCAATATTGTTAAATTTGTTTCTGTATTTGTCCTCAGGAGTGGACGACGGAAATCTTGTCTGGAGCGCTAGTTGGAGCAAGTATGGAAACCTCGTCCAGTCACTGTATCTTATCATTATCAAAATGTGGGAGAAAGCAGTACTTCTACATCATTTTTCGTGCTTCTAGTTAGAAAAGCCAAGTCATTATCTGCTGGAACTTACTTTCCAGAGCCGAACTGAAAATTTGCTGTAAGAACCAGTGAGATAATAAACAGCAGCATTAGAGGCGCTTCAAATCTGGAAAAAATCACTTTTTTATTGCAATTTTGTTACCAACCTTTTTGTTCTGGCGAAAAACAGATTTTTAGGTATTTGAAAAAAATAGATAAACTACATATAGCCTGGAGCTTTCATATATAAGGGCAAAGAACAGTGTTCATGAATGTATTCCCTATCCTTGGATAACACTGTAAATTTCTGTTGGTGAATGAGTAGCGCTTTTTTCTATCGAGTGTGCAATTTTTATTTCTTTGGTTCAGAAACCCCTAACATTTCTGTGATATTTGTATTTTATCGACGTGATTAATTAATAATTTGAAAAATTACTTGATAATTTGTCCTTTCAGGATTTCCTTACCACTATCAACTTGCTTCTAAGTAACACTTGGAAGATGGCGCCTTTGACAGCCTTTCCAGTCGGTTATTTTTGTTGACATTTGTTATTACTCAAGTTATTTTCGAATGCCTCCTCCTCTTATCCATTATAAATTTTTGTCTAGATTACCACTTTCTGATTCAATTTATTCTAGTTTCCGAAGGTAGCCTCACATAACCTCTGAATTTTCGGCAGCTTATCAAAAAAGAGCAATGTGTGGCAGTTGCTTGTAGCTTTTTCCCAACTCATTGACTAAACAGGGTTACAATTTTGGGCTTATAAGAGTACTTTATAAATGATTGTTGTCCAGTAGTGCCTAGAACTGCTCGTGTGATGAACTAATTTTAATTGAAAGCACCCGTGCATGAATACTACTTATGCCAGCCTCATTTATTCCGAGCTCTATGTCACCAGATTTTATCTCCTATTGTATAGGTTACACATTTCATCTCTTCGAAAGTAAATATCCTTGGAAAATCCTTTAGAATAATAAGAAAGGCAGATGAAGCTTTAGGAGAGGAAAGTCGAATGTCGATTGCGGGATAAATTCGACTCCAGTTTATAATGGCTGAGCAAGCCAGATAATCCGGTCAAAGAATGAAAAGAGAAGGAATTCTGTGGACGTGTGATATGCAAATCATTGATGTGCTGTGACGCAAGGATTAAAATCAATGAGGAGGGACAATAATCCGGCAAAAAATGCTCACTATCAAAGCCAACAAACTAACTCAAAAACGTCGACTAAAGAACAATAGTTTTCTATCTGTGCTCATAAATTTAATCATAAATTCTTTTTTATGTAGTTTCATGAAAGAAATGTTAGTTTTCAAGCAAACCTGGATAAATCTTAATGAAGCACCGAATGGAAGAAGCAGTTCCTTTTGCCAAATCTTTATCAACTTTTCATTGAGAAGTGCTCTTCAGCACACCTCACTGCAGGTTATTCCTCGATGACTGGCACTTGTCATGCGATTTTTGTTGAATTCGGTCTCAGTCCTTTCGAGCAAGCAATCCTGCCACATTCCATTGTGAGTAAATTCTCAAAAATATGCCACCATCTTACCCTCAACAAGAGTTTCGAATCCCTTATTTGGCAGCTTGCGCTCTGTAACTAATTCAGCACTCTGTAACTAATTCAGCAGGCTTAAAAAACCCAGGCTGGAACGCACCGGGCGGGCCCGTGCGATCATGCGTTTTTGCACCGGACTTGA